TTGTTGGATTGTAACTTGTTAATTTGGCTTTGGAAGTTGTCTACAGCTCATCTACCGTTATTGTTGTTGCTTAATTTTAAAAAAGAGTGTGGCTCTTGAAAAGAGATTATAAGATGAAGTAGATAAGATTAATTACGATACATTATCCCATTTAATTATCTCAGCAAATCCAAATATAGCAAATATTCACTCAGAATAAATTGCGAATAAAAAATAAAGTGTGATTACTTCCAAGATTTTACGTTATTTGACGGAATAAGTGAAAACAAAAAGATATAAAGATAGGATGCTTATAAATCCTGACTGATTACCTTGAATTTTTTCAATATATATATCCCTCTAATCCTTAATATAAGACCTAATTAACTAATTTAATTAAATTAATAATGTTAGTTAAATTAATTAGCATTATATCTTTTTTCTAAAATACCCTAAGTATTTTCCTTTACTTCCTGTTTCCCTGTTTTATTTTATTATTGTTGAGAGATATTAATAAGATTTATTTGGGAAAAATTACTAAACATATGAAATAGTTCTTACATATAGGACCAATATCAAGTCTTCTAATTAAGGACCAGAAGAGTATCTTTGTAGATATAAATTATAAATTAAACATAAGTGATATAAAAGACTAAAAATAACATTTTTGCCAAAAGAGATTTAATTTTAAATATAGAGATGATAACTCTAAAATTTTAAAAGTATAATTTTCTATAACAAAAAAAAATTATACACAATAAAATTATTGAAATATTTGTCTTATCTTCTTTAGATTTATTAAGATGCTGCGCAAAATTAAAAGAAAAAATTTCAAAAAAATAACTATTAAATTTTAAAATGATAAATCAGGAATTACTATAAAAATGTATTGTTATTTGCTTTTTTAGTGTAATCATTTTCTTTACAAGTATAGTAACTAGTACTAATTTGGAATTTTAAAATTCAATAGTTATTTTTTTTTGGGATTTTCTCAAATTAAAATGGCTCCAAACTAGCTACAAGTCATGCTTTAAACGAAGTTATTTCATAACGTATATGCATGGCATTGAGAGCTTTAATAATTTATTTAAAATGTTTATTATATTTATATAATTTATAGAATTATATGATTTTTAGTCTATCCAATAGTTTAATTCGACTTATCGTTCTGGTAAAAAAAAAATAGATGTATCGTTATTTATCCAGATTTATTTAATCCGAGACCGACCTTCTTTTCTATAAATAAACTAGAAGGCTTTGATTCCAACGTTTACCTTCGTTAACTGGTCCCAGACTGGAGGAGAAGAAGAATAGCATCTTCATTCTTTCTTTGTCCGTTCATCGGGTACTCCTTCTTCTTTCCTTCTTTCCATCTTAATTTTCTTTCTTCCTTTCTTTTAGTTTGATTTTCCCCTGGAAAATGTCGCACTGAATGAAAATACTGTTTATGCTAGTTTAGTGATTCTTTCAACTGAAATAAGTCTTCAATGTACCCACGCATAACTTGAATCTACTAGTTAACAATTTGAAAAATTTATGAACTCCAAGAACCTGGTTATGATTCATTTACAGTCCTTCTTTGTCCGTTCATCAGGTACTCTTTCTTCTTTCTTTCAGTTTCATTTTTCCTGGAGAATGTCGCGCTGAATGAAAAATACTGCTTAGACTGGTTTAGTGATCCTTTCAACTGAAAGAAATCTTCAATGTACCCACCCAAAACTTGAATCTCCACGTTAAGAATTTGAAAATTTTATGAACTCCAGGAACCTGGCTATTATTCATTTACGATATTATTTATTAGTTATAGTTTTATGGCTTATCGCTTGTGTTACGTAATTGTTAATTCTTGATGATTTTGTCTATTTAACCACGCAAACTTCAATACTTCTTTCTCGTCGGTCATTAATTTTTAAATTCAAACCAGAACTTGAAAAATTATGCAGAAAAAAGAGTGCCCGTAAAACAGATGCTGTGATTCGGATTTTAGTTTTACGTTGATTCTATAATGATCTGAATGCTCTCAAACTGTGCAAACTAATTACAGTTGGGAGTTAATACTTGCTTCATTATTTGGTTATCTTGTGTGTTTTAACCGCGTCAGTTAGTTTCTGCTAATTGGATAGCCATGGGAGAAACTGGTAAATTTCTTCGTAAGGGACCTCCTTCTGATTTGCCTACCGTCGAGCTTCTTCCAGATCCAGAAAACGACATGAAAGATCACGACCACGTTGGAGCACCTACGTCAGAAAAGGATGGTTCTTCGTTGACCAGTCAACCTCCAAATCAAAGTTGTCTTGTGAACAACACGGGATCTGAAGAGAGTATCAATAATCCACTGGAGGCGCAATTGCAGAGCTTGAGACTTGATGCTGGAGTGCAAAGAATTTTAACGAACCATGTTTATGAAGGAGCACTTCATGGGAATAATATTATCAGCCAGCAAGTCTTAACTGCTGGCCATGGAAATTCTGGGATTGGTCCTAGCCATGCTTATGAAGGAGCACTTCAGGGGAATAATATTATAAACCAGCAAACCTTAGTTTCTGGAAACTCTGTGAATGGACCAAGTCATGTTTATTATGGAGGAGCACTTCATGGTAATATCATAAACCAACAAATCCTTGCTGCTGGAAACTCAGGGATTGGACCAAGACATGCTTCTAAAAGACTACTTCATGGAAATAATGTTATAAACCAGCAAAGCCAAGTTTGGAGCTCTGAGACTGAGCCAAGTCATGTTTATAACAGACCATGTTGTGGAAATAACACAAACCAGCAAAGCCTTGTTGGAAACTTTGGGATTGCACCAAGCCATGCTTATGAAGGACTAGCTAATGGAAACAATACAAACGAGCAAATCCTGGCTGGGAATTTTGGAATTGGACCTAGCCAAGTTTCTAATTTTTCTTCTGTAGAAAGGATCTTCATGAGACAGAGGTACAATAACATAAAATCACTGGAAGTTGTGAAGGGCATGGTGGCTTCAATCTCAAAAGAGGAAGATGGAAGTGAATTTCTGGTTAGAATGTTGGATGGGAAGAACCCTAGAGACATTAATCTCATTTCAAGGGAGTTGTTGGATCACCTACATGATTTAATGATGGACCGGTTTGGAAAACGTGTCATTGAAAAGATTTTTGATGTGCTCAATGAGGATCAATTAACCCTCCTATTCGAATTTATCACCAATAACCTGCTCAAGTTTCAGAACATTTGTGAAAACAATATCGGGTATATGCTATTTTCTTATGAAACTATCTCTGTTTGATTTCATGATTCATCACATGAAATTATGTAAATCTTTGGTATGTTTTTATGGTTCTTTTGGTTTTTGTTTAGCAGATTTTGTAACTTTTTTATTTTGGTTACAGATCCGGAGTTTTACGAAGTATGATAGAACATTTTACAACAGAAAGGCAAATGGTTGTCTTTGCACATGCACTGAAGGAAATTGTTGTCCCAGTGGCCACTTCCCAATATGCTAGTTATGTCCTTCAGCACTTCTTAAAACTTTGCCCTCATTTTTCAAAGGTATAGCTAATACAACTCTTCATCCCTTAATTTTCTTATTATACATATTGATCTCTGTTATTTTCAGGAGATTTATGATGCAATGGCATCTGAATGCACTCCTATTGCCACAAACAAAACCGGTTGTTCTGTTCTTCAAACATGTCTATCTATGGCTGCACCAGAGTCTTCTTTCTTATTGACTTCTGCAATTAGCCATCGTGTATCATTGCTAGCACGACATCAATATGGGTGAGTATAAATCAAAGAAACCACTCTTTACATGAACTTAAATAAATATTTGTAAGCTGATTACGTTGTTATACATTTTTTACCACAGGAACTATTTGGTGCAGTATGTAATTAAGTTGGCTTGCCATGCCATAAATGAAGAAATAGTAAATAGACTTCGAGGTCGGTATGTGGAATTGTCTATGGACAAGTGTGCTAGTAATGTGGTGGAAGATCTGTTGCTATTCTCAACTCAGAAGAATGTTGGTATTATAGTTCAAGAGATGATGAGTAGCCCTAGCTTTGTGAACCTTCTTCAAGACCCATTTGGCAATTATGTTGCTCAGAGAGCCTTGGAATGTTCTCAGGTTAGATTCTTCAACTTCATCTCTCTCTCACCCTAAATGTTTTTGTATCTCCCTTAAATTATACTCTGCCTCTTATAATAATCTTTATACGGTGTATATATAATCCTGATCAATAATACTAAGCTAGTCTCGGTTAATTAATTTTTTGGGATATTTTGGTTTGCAGGGAACTCTGTATGACATGTTGGTGAGCACAATTTCGAGACATTATGAAAGTCTGTGTACTAATCAATATGGGAAAAGGGTGTTAGCATTTATGTATGGAGGACGCACATTTCAGCCGCTTCGAAGACTTTAATTTGGAAAATGGATTTGGAATAATGCATTTGTAAAATGAGCATCGCAGGCAAATCATTAATAATGGGGGCATGTTGTTTCAGTTTTGTTAGTTGTTAATTCATAGAGGGTGGATATGTATACGGGTTTCTTGGTTGCTATGTGTTTGTATTATTCTGTTAAGTTCTTGTTCGAGTTTTTTTTTTTTTTTTCTGGTCAGTAGTTTTGGAACTCTTGTTTGAAATAAATATAATAGTTCTTAAATTTTTGTTTCATTTTATGTCAATATGTGTGATTCTGTTTTTGAGTAATTCAATTGTTGAATTGCAACTTGTAATTTGGCGCACTATCGGATTTAATTCTAATAGAATATATCAAATTTTATGCTTCCATATCTTTTTATAATAAATGAACAAAATAAGATAATTACAATACATTATCCCATTTAATTATCCCAGCAAATCCAAACATAGCAAAGATGCACTTAGAATAACATCTACTCTAAGTCATATCTCTATATATAATTATGATGTGATGAAAATATGGTATAGATATCATGTTTTTTCATAGACATCAGGATAATAAATTTGAAATGCATTTGTAAGATCAATAATTTCAATTTAAATCATAGTTTTTATTGCAACATTTGTGTGTCGCCCCCATATTCTAAAGATCCGCCACGGCACGCGCGCGCACCAAACAGAGGGGGCGCTTGCATCATGAAGAAAAAATCAAAATTTAAAAAAAGGGGACCTAATTCTCTGCCAACCAATTTTTATCTACCTAATCCTCAGGCTACCAATTTTTTACCTACAGATGGCAGGAAACTGTCTTCGCGACAGCAAATGAGTCATTAGTTGCACACAATACATGTACATGTGATCTTAATTTGAATTTCTTATGGGCCTTAAATTACATTAGAAATTTGCCCACGCCAGGATAATTCTGAAGCAGAGGTTGAAAGTCCTGAATCAGTACATCTGCAATATGATATGTTAGGCTCCCATACTATGGGATGGACAGGGGCGCGGCTGGTCAGAATCATCCTTGGCATAGCCACTAGACGCTAACAAATTGATCTGCAAAGTGGGGGAAAGAGAATTAAAATTTGAGAATTGGACAAGTTGCGATCGAATTTTCATCTATTCTCCCTCATTATCGTTGCAACTGTACAGTGTACACCCTCAGAATTGTGTCCTGAAAATTTGTCTGAAAAGGCAGGGGAAAGGAGGAAGGGAATACTTGAAGGCAAGAGAATGAGAATGTGATTTTTCTTTCTCCATATTTGGATGAAATGACCTGAGGAATGAGAAAAATTCTCTCTTTTTTTCTTTCCACAAATGGAATGGAAAATAATGGATCCAACTTTTTCTTATGCCTCATTTTCTTTCAAAGCAAATTGCTCAAGAGGCTCACAGGATCATTGAGATCGGGATGCTCTCAAATAACGCAAATAAGAAAGCAAGCTTGGCATTAATTTACCTTAACAATTTCAGACCTGGAAGCTGGACGCATATAGGCTGCTAACACGCTCATATTGAAATCCTGCATATAGCATCATTGCAAGGTCAAACGAAAACTTAATACCGAAGTGAACTCCAAGGTAATCCAGCTTTATGGCAAAGCATTCACGATTGATGCATAGACCAGTTAGACTAAGTATACGCAGGACAACCCTTCCAACTTATTTTAAAAGTTTCAAAATAATAACAGGGGAGGCCATTGTGACTATCGTCGCTCAGTGACACACATTTTTCTGAATCTGACAAAAGAAGTTGAGCAGGTCCGCTGAAACTCAAGGAATGTGTGAGCTGGTGTAAAATAATAACTGCTACGGTGTGTAGGATTACTCTCTATTAAATATTAATGGCCAAGTAAAATGCCCATGGGCGACTGAGATGCCCCAAAATCAATGTTGTTCATAGCAAACTCACACGATCATTGTTTTACAATGCTGGGTCTGCCACTGCAAACTCAAACCATGGAATCATTTTTGTGTAACCATAAAGATCAGCATAGATATAGTACTTTAGCTTCTACGAAATCAACCTCGTAAAGGAAAACAACTCCAGAGTTCAGAGGCATAGCCCAAATACAATATTTGAATTTGGCACGGGCAATTAAGAAATCAACCATCGAAGCATGATAAGAGAAAATTAAAAAGAGAGAGAGAGAAAACATGTGGATGGGAAACAAATAGTAATAATGACCATAAATTGTCCAAATTAGAGGAAGAAGTCCAATATTTAGAAATCCATATCGTTAGTCTCCCCTATGAGAATGCTAATAAGGGGTGCCATTTCCTTTTATCAAAAAGGGTCAAGCAGAAAGAAACTTACCCTGAAAGGATCACCCCTCAAAGATTGAACATACATAGAACTTCCAGAACTTCTTCCCTGCAAAGACACATCCCTATTATATGCATACAATTCATTCAGATTTGACGTGTTAAATGGTGGTGATAAAATGTTTACATTTGGAATAAGCAGTTGATATGCACTCTGTCTGATAGATAGAATGCACAGGCAAACTTTTTCACATTCAATGGATATGGGAATTGGAACAGAAGAACCATTTTTGAACGCTTAACAGCGACTTACAAAGCTTGCCTAGCCAATGTAGAATTATAATTGAGTGACGCACCTCAAGGGATATATCCCTCAAACGCCTCCCTGTTTGAGCACAGCATATACGAATGACTTGTTCATCACAACTCCCACTGATAATATAGTCCCTCCCATTCATGTAATATGAACGAGTGTAGTTCTGAGAGCTTCCAGTGGAAGCAATATCAAAAACCAAGTGAAGCCTACCATCAACAGCTAGAAGTTGTCTAACCTGTCATGTAAAATTTACACATTACTTCTGACACCAAAATAATTTCCTCAGGACTTCATAATCAACATGTCACCAAGATAATAAGTTACATGCATGAGTGCTAGCCACACAAAATCAATATGTAAGAAAGAAAATTGCACAAGTCCAATGAAAAAATGTCAAACTTTAGGTAGCTCAGGTTCCAGTCAATAAATATCATATTCACATACATGATGGATAAGAAATCAGTATGAGGTTTAACTAATGAAATCTACAAGAAAAAATATGAGAAAGGCAATTAAATGAAGGGGAAGCAAGCAAAGCGAATGACAAGCAGAACACCAAATGAATCACCCAGCTCCTGGACACTTTGGCTACTTGTTTCAAATCTAACTCAGATTTCAAAGGCAGTGCATATCTTAATAATTACACCTTGAAGTGTCCAGCAACCCCACAAATCGTCAATAATGAGTTACCTCATTGTCAACAGCTGATGCAAGAATATATTGGTCGTCTGGAGAAAAGCAGGCCATAACGTTTCCTCTAGAGCTTGAAGCAGTGAAGCAAGGGTGTATGGGTTTTTGTCTCAGATCCCACATTTTGACATCCTGATCAAACGACGAAGTGGCAAAAATTGAAGGAGAATGATTTGCAAATTTAACTACATTAATATGCCCCTGATGCATATCAGTGAACACTTGCAAGCGCTTTCCATTGCTGATGTCATATAAAGCAACATTTCTTGAATAACCACTTGCAAGAAATAGTTCATCTGTGGAGTTGACATGCACAGATGTCAACTGGTCAAACTCATCAAAAGTAACACAGCCAGAACTGCCATATATGCCCGTACTTTTTCTTCCAATATGATGGATGTCATATAATTTCAAGGAACCATTGTCCGAACCTGCTATAAGCTGATATGAATCAGGGGGAAAAAAATAGAAGCAAAGCATCAGACGTCACCATTATAAAGCCAATTCCTTTTTATTTTAATAAATCACTAAATCCAGTCTGATTGTGATAGCTTAACAATATGATGCATAGTGCTTGCATACTCCAGTTATTTAGGGAAAAAAATAATCTCTCTCCAATCTAAAATACTTTAGCCTCCACAAGGTTATAAACAAAAGAAAATTCAAAATCTTGCAAGGAGGTGTCACAATCTAGGTTCATGAATGAGATGACAGCACACAATTACATATGAAGCTGTTACATCACACTTAAAAGATAATAATCAAGCTGGCTATATTCTCTGTGTCACCACTTTCCTCACAACAAAAACATACCTTGGAGGGATATTTCTTGAGCCAGCAGAGTCCCAATACACTATTCATTGCTCCAAGTGACGGGATATAACTCACAATCTGCTCACTCTCATGGTTGATGACAACTACTTCACCATCTAAAGTTCCAAAGACCATCAGGCTGGAGTCAGATGGATGGTACTCAAACTGCCTTGGACGAAAGACTCTATCTTCACCTCCCAAGCGACAGCCAGATAGAGAAAGGGGGCACAAGAAAGGCCAAGTTGAAGACCCCACTTTTGCAGCAGAGAAAGACCTAGCATAAAAATATTGGGTCTTTCCAGAACGATATGATGGCCTGTACTTGAGGCTCCGCACATTTAGACGACTTGATTTTATTTCACGGTTTTGTAAGATATTAACAACACTCTCCTTGTGCTTCCATCCGTATGGTAGATACTCAAAGTGTTGAGAAAACATTTCAGTAGCCTGTTCCTCGTCAATCTTTTTTATAGGTAAATTATCCAAAACTTTCAGGTTGGGTAATGAAGCTATCATAAATTCTCTGTAGTGTTTCTCATAGCATATTGGTGATGCATGACAGGGCATATACTTCCGAGAACCTTCAGCAGTACGCCTTGCAGAGGCACCTCCCAACAAATCCTCTTCATCTTGATTCTGGAAAGCAAAATAGAAAAGCTAAAGCTGAAAAGAATTTTAAAATTACAGCTTCACTAATAGAAACTTTAGACCTAAGTAATTATATAACACCATGAGCCATTTTAATGCAATTAAATAGAAAAGACTTATACAATAATTTCCTAAATATGTTGCATGCATAATATAATCTAAGGCATTCAAAGTCATTGACAAATTTTCCAAGGACAACGTTACATTACAGTAAAAATTGAACTAGGCAGAAGAGAATGACAACATACTTACAGGTTATGAGTAATACGATTATTTTTTAGACCAAGCTATAGCTATAATAATCATTATCACAACTAAATAGCATATCAATTAAAATACTTTAATTCTAAATATGAGGGGAAATCTTAATATTGCCCTCTTTGTAAGAGTGTTTTACAGGATTCTTCTAAAAAACCACCAAGTGGACGCAGCAATATAATCCCATAATTGTAAAGGTAAGGTCAAGAGGAAATGTTTCATCCTAATTAATGCTAAATATAAATCTTCAAACACTGGTAGATTCAAATGGTGGCTTGACAAGTACTTGGATGGAAACCTTGGGATTAGACCATGCCTATGCAATATGATCATCTGGACGTCACAACATAAGGATAAATCTAGCTCTGGACAGTGCAACCTTCTTGTAATATGTTTTAAGAAGTTCCTGCAGGTTCAAGACTGAATCTCCTTGGAGTTACGATGTTATTTCTAAAAATCTCTTTCTCCTTGGTAAGATGTTTCACTGTGTTTCTGTTTCTGTCTCAAATGATGTAAGTTTATTTTCTGACGACGTGTATTACTTGCTATTATATGCCAGGAGACTTTTCTTTTAATAGAATTTGTCCTTTTATTGGGGAAAAAGAAGAAAAAAATTAAAACATAGAAAAATGAAACCATTCAAAAGGAAATCTACTAAAAACCAGAAAGTGGGGGGGAGGATTTTGACTACCTCATTCCGAAGAGGCAACTGTCTGTTCCACCTACTAAAGAGAGCTGACAACCAGTATCTCTGACGACGATGTGAAATGTCCATTTCACCATCATCTGATGAATCATCAACAATTCTTGGGGCATCATGATTCGTAATATCATCAAATGAATAAAAATTACTCAGTGGATTATCTGCACTAAAGTTATGATCTGTCAGATCACTTGTGCCAATGCAGGATTCACCAATACATGGAACTCTATTTGATAGAACGAAATCAGCAGTGTCATCTGACATCCCACTGGATGAAGCACAAGTGGTCATAGCATCATTGCAATGCGACAAACATTGAAATCTAAGTTCAACTAAAGAAGGAAGCTTAGAGAGGGCAGCAACAGTTGTCCAAAGATTGGAAATCCGGGTCTCACGCATAGATAGGCACATTAGATTGGGCATGCAATTAAAGCAGTCCCCTTGGAAACTGGTCAATGAAGAGCAGAAATCAAGATTAAGAGTATGCATATTCATGAACTCCCCTGCCAAGTTCAGCTTCCAGAAATGTGAAGACCTCAAAGTCAAAACTTGGCATGCCAAACCTCTTTGAGAGACATACCTGAAGGTTGAGCCCAACATCAGCCATGAAATGTCATATATGACAAAAACATGTTGCTTCAAAAAGTACATATGTGCCCATCAGGGCAATGTTTCTGTTGGAAATGAACCACCCATGTCTTTCATAAACTACTGAGATAAGTGTAATTCAATCGGATAAAGCACGTCATATATTTCTAATTGGAAATTGCACAAATCAGAGACAATTTGTTGCAACAAATGAACAAGAAATCAGATGTCCAACAAGCTACACCTGAGAAATAGCAGTGTCCAATCACTTTCAACATGAAATGATTGCTCAAATCCAATTTTTATCAAGTGTTGGTCAAACTTTAAGATTTTTTTTTTTTTTTAAGTATTGCTCGTAAGCATTGGAGTCCTAGATAGGTGCCACTATAGCTATTCCAATGTCCAACAAATCGGCACACAAATGCATGATTGCTTTTTTAAAACTTCAGGGCACCAAGACAACAGTTTCATGCCAAACCAATATATAAAGATGTCTTAGATGTTCAATCACATGACATAGTTCTGACATTGCTCAAGTTTCAAAATATAGAACTTTTATACACCAGTATTATCGATCTTCACTGTATTAAATATATATATAAAAGGTGAGATGCAAAACAGAATAGAGGTGTCCATAAATAAACAAATCAAAGACCATGTCCCCTATTATAATATAAGACAAGCACCACGATATACCATAAGAAATCTTTTCCAAATGACAGATCCTGTAGATGAACTACTCGAAGCTTTTGATTGATAGCACGCATCAACGATAAGGCATATTCTCCATTAATTTCAGATGTTGATTCATTACGTAAATCAACAGCTTCTATTTCAGAGGTATCAAGGTCCATGCATACATCAAGAAGTGGAGGAAAATCAATATCCTTTATGTCATCAATGAAAATCTCTAGGCAGCAGCGCTCCTGGCAGGACTTTTTTATCTCAGCCTGCACAATAATGGTCGTGTTCAGCTTCATATTCCCATTTAAAACATAAAATAGGAAAATAAGAAAAAATTAAAAGAAGAAAACAATCAATGAATAATGAAAAGGGAAAAAGGACAGAAAAGTTATGATCTCAAATAGAATATAAAACAGAATGAGATAAGGAGCAGAGATGAAAGTTATTTGAATAAAATTTGCTTTTAAAAATAAAGGTTTCAGCGCCTTTGCAGAATATCTTAACATCACAGTAAATACAGACCTTAAAAAAGCTTGACAAAACAGAACTGTTAGGCAAAACACCATGCCTCCTGCAAGAGCCGATATACCTAGAACCAAAACAATAAATATGAGACAAAAATACATGCAAAACAGAGAGCACTGGACAAATTAGAAATTACAGACTTGATTATATCATCAGCTGCTATGGAAACTAAGAAGAAGGCATTAAACCGAAGCCTTTTTGTTAAGCCGGTTCTTTTCCTTTATTCAAATCTGGATTAATAGCCAACTTGTCGTCCGAAAATTCGGATTTGACAAGACAATGAAAAGCAGTTGAAAATGCATGGAACGAGGGAGCAGCAGTAGGTTTAGCTACTTCTTTAAACAAATCCTACCGCCATAACTCTGAATGCATGACATCATTCTGATGGAATTAAGTGTTCATATACTGGGAAACTATCATAATTCCCATAGCTTCCCAGAGGAAATGGAAGAGGAAGTAAGAGGATTATATTAAAATTAAAATTAATTTAAAAAAAACTCGGGCTGATGAAGACCGTTAAGAGTCTTTGAGCATTAAAATTTTCCGATTACAGTATTATCAATCAAGAATTAGCATTGCAAGAAAGAATTTTCAATGCGAAGCATTCTTACAAAAGAGTCCGTGACTTTATCATCAATGCGCAATAAGGACAATGCATCGAGTTGGCAACAACTTACCTTTCTTCCAAGGTTGGGATGTCAATAGCCATGGCGATATAGCTTTCTAGGAACAATTGAAATGCGATTGGAGATCTGACCACTGATCAACAATTCAAGGTAACAAAGCATATACCGAAAATTAACAAGGAAAATCGAATAGCCTAATGGCAACAACGGTTGGAAGGTGAACCCAAGCTGCAGAAGCAGTGAACGAGAATTGCGGTTTCTTTTGGTGGGGGAAAAACACTTTTACTTTTCTCCTCCATGTCCTCCCAGTGGACCGCGATAACTGTCCAAAACTGTACGATCTCGTAGAAGCCCATAATTTTTGGGCCTAGACCTTGAACCAGATTTGGCCCAAATTATGAAAGCCCAATAATATCGAATGGAATGAGTACTGTAGTCTGTAAGCAGTGTTCGGCTCAAAATAAAACCAGATTTTTTTACCAAAAGAAAAAAGAAAAAGTTTTTTTGACCTTTTTTTCCCTGAATTTTTTTACTTGTGGCTTACCATTTTTATTTTCAAAATTTTAATTTTTCCATCTTTATGTTATTGGCATCGTGAAAATAAATAATTATGGCACACAAAAATTAGTTATTAGAGTTATCCACTTCAATTTTCTGTGGCTTTAGCCGAATCACCATTTTAATGTCTGAAATTACTTTTCCCACCTGCTCAAAAAAATTGCACAATATTATTCTAAAATTGATTTTTTTCCTAAATTATATAAGAAACATTTTTTGTTGACACTAACTTTTCAATTTTGTTTCATTTATTTTGCATATTAAACGATGCTAAATACTCATTCAATACTAAATGTAAAACTCATTTTGTAATATAAATTATATTACAAAATAAGTCTTACATTTAAGATCAGAAGAGTATATAGGATTGGCTAAGAAAGAACAGTTGGAACTAAATTTAGAGAATACACAACAGAACACAGAAAAATTGGTTGTTTCAGATTACTTAAATTTATGATAAATTAGGAATCCAAAATTCTAAAAAAATTAAAGTAGCATACTAGTACAAAATAACAAGATATGTTATTTATAATTTATAAGGCTGTCCAGAAGCCAAATATTTCAAATACGCAAGTAGATTTCTGGTAAAAAGAAACATGTAGACATATTATCTTCTTCCTTCTCATTTACTTGTCATATATAACACCATCTATATGGTAGTTTGTTGTGGTTAACCCCAGCAATATATATCACGTTTCATGCAAGTTTGATAATAAATCTTATTTTTCTTGTTAGTATGAGAGATGCGAATGAAAAAGATATCCCAGAAAATATTTGAAAATTAAAAGCAAAAAACATGATGGAAACAGCTTGGGAAGAAGCCAAAAAAGATGGTCAAGTTGCATGGGAAAGGTCTGACTTTGTAAAGTAGTAAAACTGGATTGGGACGGAAAAAAACAACTCTTTTGGTATATGATTATCTGATATTTAATATTGTCGGGTGAGATTAGAGCATTATCAACTCAAAAAAAAAAAAAAAATGCAGGTACCCTGCCTGTTGAACAATTGTGGACCCATGTTTATGTTAACTGGATTAGGTAAAAAAAAAAAAAAACCTCTTTTTAATTAGAGGACTGAGCACTAACAACATAAAATTACAAATGATATCAAACTTGTAACCAAACTGTTACTCATAATATGTAGAAGTATCCCATAATTTCATAGAATCATTCCGTCAGACTGCTATGTAAAGAATATAAGCCTAATAAAGGAATGGGAGTAGCCAAGGCATACAAGATATTTTTTTTCACAAGGACCTACAATGTAAAAGATCTTAACATGAGTGATTAAACATATTACCTTTAATTCTTAATATAAGAGCTATTTGGAGGGTTAATTTTGGTCTTAAATATAAGATTTTAATTAATTTGTCTCCCATCTTTTCTCAAAGGGTTAAGGTGTAAATTTACCCTGAAAGTTTTTATATAAGAGTGTTGAGCACCTGAAGGTCTTTTTAAGTTCAAATTTATCCCAAAAGTTTATATTGTAGCAATATTAACTCCTGCCGTTAAAAATATTAATGGTCAATGTCACTATTTTAACGGTCAATGTTAGTTTTTTAACTATAAGGGCAATATTGCTACAATTTACAATTTCGAGACAAATTTGGACCCAAAAAACCTTTTAAATACCCAGCGCTTTTGGACAAAAATTTTCAAAACAAATTTGCATCTTAACCCTTTCCTAAGACATCATTATTGATTGTAAGGAGTTTCTATTAAGAGATAATTTCAATTATCTAATACACATGGTTGAGGAGGATAATTAAAGAGATTAACATTCATTTGTAACAAATAATTAATTTAACTAATTTTTTTTAATATCTTTAAATCAGTTATCTATTTTTTATGTTAAGGGGGAGGTAGTTTAACTTCTTCTTTTTTGACCAGCAAGGGGGAGATAGTTTAACTAGTTCATGTGATACATGGTTATATTTATAACTCAGAATTAATCCAATAGAGAATATGCAAATTAATCACATTATGTGCATGATTTATGTTTGAATTCAAATTCAAATTAATTAAGGATGAAAGTCAGTTAATTCGTACGCACATCGAACCTATCAAAAACAAACCAGGTTCACCTACTGAGTGAAAAAATCAACTATGATTGATTGCTGATAAATAAACTTGATGTGACCATAGATTAAATTTCAAATGTTCATCTTGCATAGGACTTTGTGGAATTTTCAATTCCATTATTGATGAAAAAAATCGGAGGTGGACCATAAGCAACACTACAATATGTCAAATAAAGCGGCACACATAATGTCTTCAATCATTTCACTAGGATATCATGAATACATATATAATTAAAAATAATAAAAGAATGAAAATTAAAAAAAAAATGGCCTCACACCGTATTAATTGATTGATTATATGAATGACATTCTACCAATTTTTAATTTAAGTAGATTAAAAAAATTAGTTAAATTAGTTTTTAGCCAATATGTTGGTTTTTGTTAAAATATTATCTTAAATCATTTGTATTAAAACTATCTCTCAATATAAATTTTCCTAACTTGTACAATTAATAAGAATATTTTAAAAAATTGATAAGTATGGAGATAAAATAAACTAAGATTTTATATTTAAGACTAAACCCAACCCTTAAAATAACTCTTTAACTTGAAACGTTGATCAAAAAATTAGATTAGATAGCAATGTAGTCTTTTGAAGAGTAGAAAAGGATAGGGGAAAAAAATACTTAATAAAGTCATTAAATGGGGCCTTTTAGTTAATAATATTTTCAGTGATTTGATGACTTGATTGACGATCAATCACAATGAGGTCATAGAAATTATATCACCAAACCTTACCTAATAAAATAAGGCTTGTTGTTATTGTTACGTTAAAATATCATATTCCTGGAAAATTTGCTTCCATCAAACCAAGCATTATGATTCTCTGGCTTCCTCTCTTTCACATGACATGGATGGTACCAAATACTATAAGGTTAATTAGTTAATGAATTACATATACATGTAACATGATTAGTTGTAAAGGTGAGGCCGCCACCACCACTCAGTTTGGCTACTTGTGAGAGTGTGTGTAGTTTGGTCATATATATGTATAGACGAAGCACCTGGTAGGGCGCACAACGAGGAAGGCTATGTATTGTTGTCGAGGCAAAACCAAAAGAAAAGCCTCATTTGGTTGTGTTGTAGAAAAGAGGGAGTAAAATATCATATGAGGGCACCCGCATGTCTATCCAACCTCTCATTTGATAATATAAGAGTAAGATAATTAATTTATAAATATTAAAAATTAATTATTTGCAACAAATGTGTCTTGATTTTTTTAAAATATCTTTCTTAATCATGTTTACTGTAGTTACCCATTGATGAGAATTGTCTCACTATGTACAACCAATATAAATATTTTGAGGAAGAAATTCTAAATTTGGAAAACAAAATTGATTGAGATTTTTATCTTTGGGATAAAAATAAACCCCTAGTCTAAGTTGCCTATAATTCATGAAGGCTGTGAGTTCAAACCTTATTGCCGATATAAGAACCTTGTTGGTAGGTGATTTGTAAATACTTCTGTAAAAGTTCTTCAAATCCGAAGGCATATCCTAATTCTAATAGCTCTGAGAACCAACATATTTAAACTTTTTTTAAGGAGAAAAAAACCTTTATCTGACTCTTATATACAACGAGGACCGTATATATAGAGTTACGGTGACTTAGATTGATTGGCAGATTATAAAAGTTACAAGGATTCACATGTTTGCTTTGCTGGTCAAAATAAGAATAAACAAACATGGTATCCACAAAATGGACAGCAATAATATTTTAAAGTGGTCGTTAGAATCCAAACATGGCAGAGTATTATTTATAGTTGCCCCCAGCTTTTTACTACCAGTCATCCCCAACATATATCCCTTTTATTCACATTACCACGTGACTCGACTCTTCTGCTGAGTTGTGAGAATAGGCAAGCATTCAAATCTGACAAAAGAATATCACATAGATGTTCTTTGGGAGTGAATGTAGCATTATTAATTTTTAATTTTCACCCGTTAATGGGCGTTAATGGGCTGATTAGATTGTTACAGGTTTGATTTGTTTGTTCTTCCTTCTTTGATCTGCGTGGAATTGATTGAGATTGGTGAACAAGATACTGGTCCTATCCTTCGTTTAGATAAGGAGAATGAAATATTAATAATAACACTTTTAATTTAGTTTTTAAATTTATAAATTTTAATTTTAATACCGTGAGCTTCATTTAATAAAAAATGATACTCTTTCTATCTCCTTTTTATAAGACGCAATTTCTTATCGTGATGTTTCCAGATATAAGAAACAAATTCTTTTTATCTAAAATTATAAACTAATTTTTCTATTTTTACCTCTATTAAATATATGCCACTTATTATTTTCCTACAATAAATCCTGTTTTGTCCCCATTTAACTTAAATTTACTAAGCCAGCCCTTTTTATTAAACCTGATTTTTTATTCTCTTAAAGAGAGGGATGCCTGCCCCTGTACTCGGACGAGTCTTAAAAACCAATCATATATTAAAAAACAATCATATAACTTTTGCTTCTAAAAATTAAATTTAAAAATATGGACTAAGAGCTTCCAATTATGGGGTCATATTCAAATTAGACTTGATCACCAATATCGATATATTTTTAAGGCCGTCTTATTTTATATTCGCAAAAATTCAATATCTTGTTTGGGAT